AAGTTGTGTATCTTAGGTCGATCCCCTCCTCCCCCCAGTGTAGACCAGGCCTTAGAGACTAAAATTTATTGGGCATAAGCTTTTGTCAGACGCATGGAGTGAAAAATACAGCAGGTAGGTATAAATATACAGCACATGAAAAAATGGGAGATGCCTTACCAAGTGGGGGGTCAGTGCTAACAAGGCCAATTCAGTCAGGGTGGATGTGGCCCATTCCAGATTGACAGAGCCAGAAGGGTACCCAGAAGTCACCTACTACAGGACAGGCCCAACGAAGAAAGTAACAGAACGCCACTAGCCATCACCAAAGCCCTCAACTAAAACCTCTCCAGTGCATCATTGAGGATGTGCAACCTATCCTGGAGGATGATCCCTCACTCTCACAGACCTTGGGAGACAGGTCAGTCCTCGCTTACAGACAGACCCCCAAATACTCACCAGCAACTACACACCACACAACAGAAACACTAACCCAGGAACCAATCCCTGCAACAAACCCTGTTGCCAACTCTGTCCGCATATCTATTCAAGGGACACCATCATAGGACCTAACCACATCAGCCATACCATCAGGGGCTCGTTTACCTGCACATCTACCAATGTGATATATGCCATCATGTGCCAGCAATGCCCCTCTGCTAGGGTTACCATTCGTCCGGATTCCCCCGGACATGTCCGGCTTTTAGAGTTAAAAATAGCATCCGGGGGGAATTTGTAAATGTCCGGACGTTCCCCCCCCCCATGCAGAGTGCGCGCGGCTGACAGGGCAGCCGGCCGGATAGTGCCACTTACATGGGGCTCTGACAGCCAGAGAGAGCCCTTCCTCCGCTTCCCCCTCCTCTCCCCTGCAGCTGAGAGCACTCCCTCCCTCCCTGCATTCACAGATCACCAGCTGGCCGTTCGCACCGGCAGTCTGGAGCTCCTCCCCCTGCTCCGCCTCCCCAGCACGCTAGTCTGAGCGGCAGGGTAAGGGGGACAGGGGGTCGGAGAAGGGGCAGGGAGGTTCTGGAGGGGGCAGTCAAGAGACGGGGGAGGCTTTCTGAGGGGGTGTGGATAAGGTTTTGGGCAGTCAGGGTACAGGTAGGGGGTAGGGTCCGGGGGGGCAGTCAGGGGACAAGAGGCAGGGAGGCTTAGGTAGGGGGTGGAGTCCTGGAGGGCAGTTAAGAGCAGGGATCCCAGGAGGGGTCAGTCAGGGGACAAGGAGCGGGGGGAGGGTTGGGGGTTCTGAGGGGGGCAGGAAGTGGGAGGGGCAGGGGCTTCTCCCGTCCTCTTTTTTGCTTGCTGAAATATGGTAACCCTACCCTCTGCCATTTACATTGGCCAAATCGGACAGTCTCTACACAAAAGAATAAATGGACACAAATCAGACATCAAGAATTGTAACATTCAAAAACCAGTAGGAGAGCAATTCAATCTCCCTGGACACTCAATAAAAGACTTAAAAGTGGCCATTCTTCAATGAAAAAACTTGAAAAACAGACTTCAACAAGAAACTGCAGAACTGGAATTAATTTGCAAACTTGACACCATCAAATTAGGCCTGAATAAAGACCGGGAGTGGCTGGGTCACTACAAAAAGTAAATTTTCCCTCTGTTGATACTCAGACCTTCTTGTCAACTGTTGGGAATGGGCCACATCCACCGTGACTGAATTGCCCTCGTTAGCACTGACCCCCCATTTGGTAAGGTAACGCCCATCTTTTCATGTGCTGTATATTATTTATACCTACCTACTGTATTTTTCACTCCATGCATCTGATGAAGTGGGTCATAGCCCACGAAAGCTTATGCCCAAATACATTTGTTAGTCTCTAAGGTGCCACAAGGACTCCTCGTTATCTTTTAGTGTAATCCTTCCCGTTTCACTGGAATTTGTAAAGAACTGTCCTAGTATCTAGCCAATTTCCCCTGGTTTATTTTTGTGATGTCTAACTTACTCTTACTAGTCTTGCTTCACTTACAATTTATGAAAACAAAAATGTAAGATTGACAATTTCTTCTGTACTTCACCTCCCCACCACAAAAGAACAACCAGTTCCTTCAGGGAAAGCCTGAGCAAAGAGATGGGCTTTGCAGAATGACCTAAAGTCAAACTAAAGCTGTCAGACCAACAAAGGGAGGGAATTTGACTCTAGTCTAAACATGCCACTGAAAAAATTATGCCTCCACAGTCCCTGTTTGAATCTGAGACATGTCAGCTCATGACCCTCATCAGAATTTCAACTGTCGGGGGAGTGCTGAGGAGACATGCAGTCTTAAGATGGCCAGGACCCAAACAATTAAGGGGTAATGATCAACCCCTTGAATTGAAACGAGAAATGAAATGTTAGTGTCATCTTTGGAATATAGATACACAACTGCACTACATTCTGCATTAGATGAAGTATGAATGTTCAAGAAAGCCCTAAGAAGAGAATGAGCAGAAGACCAGTTGTCCAAAGCCACTCTCTGATTCCCTCAAAGAAAATAAATTGAATCACCGCAGAGTAAGTCTATCAATCACTGCCAAAAAAGGAGCTGTATCAACATCATAGATACTGTAGCAAAGGCAGCTGATGGATCTGATACACACTCACTCTTTCTAGACAGCTGAAGTGATTTTTCCTAGATCCTTGGGGTCCCTCAAAATGTAATGGTTCTCTACAAAAGGGTGGTACTAAAAATGGCATTAGGAGTTCTAGGGTTGAGTCCATCAGTGACTCCTTACCAAATATTCTCAGTTACAAGTTAAAAAGGTGGCTTATTAACTCTCAGCCTTACAACAATCTGGTATCTGAAAGTCAAGCTGTGTTAGCTGGCTCATGAACCACCAGCAGTAAGATTCTACAAGTCAGTTTCTGTCCTCATGTACACCTATGCATCCCTATTGTCTTGAATCAAGTTAATATATGAGGCAGAACAGAATTCAGTCTATACTCAAGCTTTGCAGATTATGTAGTGCTAACAGTAGTAAAAATTAGGGCTGTCAAGCGATTAAAAAAACCTGATTAATTGCTCTGTTAAACAATAGAATACCATTTATTTAGATATTTTTGGATGTTTTCTATATTTTCAAATATGTTGATTTCAATTACAACTCAGAATACAAAGTGTACAGTGCTCACTTTATTTTTTATTACAAATATTTGCACTGTAAAAAAACCAAAAGAAATAGTATTTTTCAATTCACCTAATACAAGTACTGTAGTGCAATCTCTTTATCATGAAAGTTGAACTTACAAATGTAGAATTACGTACAAAAAATAACCGCACTTAAAAATAAAACTATGTAAAACTTTAGAGCCTACAAGTTCACTCAGTCCTACTTCTTGTTCAGCCAATCGCTCAGACAAACAAGTTTGTTTACATTAGCAGGAGATAATGCTGCGCACTTCTTGTTTATAATGTCACCTGAAAGTGAGAACAGGCATTCGCCTGGCACTATTCTAGCCGGCGTTGCAAGATATTTACGTGCCAGATGCACTAAAGATTCATATGTCCCTTCATGCTTCGCCCACCATTCCAGAGGACATGCTGCCATGCTGATGATGGGTTCTGCTCAATAACGATCCAAAGCATGGAGGACTCTCGCACGTTCGTTATCATCATCTGAGTCAGATGCCACCAACAAAAGATTGATTTTCTGTTTTGGTGGTTCGGGTTCTGTAGTTTCCACATCGGAGTGTTGCTCTTTTAAGATTTCTGAAAACATGCTCCACACCTCGTCTCTCTCAGATTTTGGAAGGCACTTCAGATTCTTAAACCTTGGGTCAAGTGCTGTAGCTATCTTTAGAAATCTCACATTTGGTACAGTCTTTGAATTTTGTCAAATCTGCAGTAAAAGTGTTCTTAAATTGAACAATATGTGCTGGGTCGTCATCCGAGACTGCCATAAGACAAAATATATGGCAGAATGCATGTAAAACAGAGCAGGAGACATACAATTCTCCCCCAAGGAGTTCAGTCACAAATTTAATTAGTGCATTATTTATTTTAAGAGTGTCATCGGCATGGAAGCATGTCCTCTGGAATGGTGGCGGAAGCATGAAAGGGCATACGAATGTTTAGCATACCTGGCATGGAAATACCTAGCAATGCCAGCTACAACAGCATCATGTGAACACCTGTTCTCATTTTCAGGTGACATTGTAAATAAGACGTGGGCAACATTATCTCCCATACATGTAAACAAACTTGTTTGTCTTAGTGATTGGCTAAACAAGAAGTAGGACTGAGCGAGGACTTATAGTTTTACATTGCTTTGTTTTTGAGTGCACTTATGTAACAAAAAAAATATCTACATTTGTAAGTTCAACTTTCAAGATAAAGAGATTGCACTACAGTACTTGTATGAGGTGAATTGAAAAATACTATTTCTTTCGTTTATCATTTTTACAGTGCAAATATCTGTAATCAAAAATAATATAAAGTGAGCACTGTACACTTTGTATTCTGTGTTGTAAACTGAAATCAAATATTTAAAAATGTAGAAAAACATCCAAAATATTTATTAAATTTCAATTGGTAGTCTATTGTTTCATAGTGTGATTAAAACTGAGATTAATCCCAATTAATTTTTTAAGTTAATCGCTTGAGTTAACAGCGATTAATCGACAGCCCTAGTAAAAATGTATGACACTAAAGTAAACAGGCCCTTGTGTATAGTAGAGGAGCTGATCTGTCAAGTCAGAAGTGCCATTTTTAACTAGTGACTTTTCAGTGTAGAACTACAATTTAAGGCACTGAACACTGCAACCAGGTCACCCTCCATTACCTCCCTTCCCCCAAGAGTAAACTTGTAAGGAAATGCCATGAATCACTTTTATATCTAGTCCCTAAATAAGGCCTGTTGCTGTTCTCCAATTATTAACTATTTGCATAGAAATAGCACCTAGGACCTCAGTTAGGGCTCCTTTCAGCTAGATGCTGCACATACAAAAAGCCAATCCCTGCTCCAAAGAGCTTACCATCTAAGAAAAAGGCAAGAGACAGACGCTGTACTCAGAATCTCAATGCCTTACCTGCACTGCCACATTCTGCTTTCCTGCTTCCTGCATCTTCTCCAAGCTGCATTTCTTGGTTTCATTCTTTCTCTTGTTGTCTTTCTTTCCATCATTTTTAGTAGCTGTTATTCCTTTGCTATAGTCCCTTCTTTCCCTACCCACATCTTTAGGTGGATAGATTCGCCCTTGCTCTCGGTTTACCTCTCGTGGTTTAATGTTCTCTTTGAATGTGACCATTGGTTTCTCCCCAGTGTCACAGTTGCTAAGATTTCTGCCAGTAGACAGAACTGATTTGAGTCCTGGGCTCCCATCTGTAGACAGTGGCTCTGCAATGGATGTTTCTTGTAGGACGAGACTCTCTTTGGCTTCACTAGGGTCCTCTAGAAACAACTCTGGGATTTCTGTCAAAAACAACAGTTTTCCTACTTCGTTTTCACACTGAATCAGCCTAAAAAAAGAAAAAAAAGGTACTGAATAGCATGTAGTAGTCGTTTTAACCATGTAACCCATCTTCCCAGGCTATAATAATGGCATGACATACACAACAAGCAAGGAGCCAGCACACGAACCCCGCAGCCTCAGTACTAACTCTATAACACAAATTACATTATACCTTCCAGGCCGATGGCACTCTTCAATATGCACACCCACCCACCATTACCCAGTCTCTACCACTTCACCTACTATTGCCAGTATTGTTATTTAATTGTACCACAGTAGTACTCAGAGGTCCCATTGTACTAGATGCTTTACCACCATGTAGGAAGATACAATCCCTGCCTCAAACAGGTAAATCTAAGAAACTGTGTATTCTCCACTAATTACAAGTTTCACGAATGCCCATTATCAGCACCATGCATTCGCGCACTATTTTTTAGTCACTACCACAGTACAAAACATTTACTTACATATGTAGTGTTCTACAATACACTAAGGCAACATATCAACATTTCCACTCAAAACGGTTAAATCTCCGGCATCTGTCAATACTACTATGCTTTACAGCAAGAACAATACACAAACAGGAGTGAGAGAGCACCAGCAGCTGCGTAGATACCTTGGCTGGTTGTCAGCAATCCATTTTCCTGTGAAGATCAGTCGTTGCTGCCGTACCCGTCGCTGCTGCCCTTCTTTGTCTCCTGTAATCCCCTGGTGGCCTTTGGAGAAATCCAAGTTCCTAATGCGGACGTAAACAAAGAATGGAAAATAAAATTAATCTCAGTTACCTCTTGTACCGTAAAGACAAACGGAGGCTTTCAAAAAGAACGATGAATTGTACAGAAAGCTATTGCAGGTTTCATTTTCGGCAGGGTTTAATAACCTAAATACAGTTACAGATATCGGAATTGCATTTTCAGTTATATTACTTTAATAAAGAAGGTCTACATTAAGCAAGTAAGTTAGTGACGTCAAGTCCTTTATGACATGACAAAAGGGTGCATGATATTAGGAAATACCCTCATATTAATTAAGACCACAAGCATAAAGGTTAACAGTAAGTGATTGGATTTAATAATTTTTCATAAGGAGTTTAATTTGTTTAAACCAATGTTTCTCCCTCACTAGCCATCTCCTCCTGGCTCCTGTAGTGAAGTCATAGTGCTATTAGTACTCTGATGCTATGGAAATTATTCATATGTCAAGCATAGGAAAACTACTTTGCTACAGGATCAAACTGAAGAACAAGTTAGGCTCAGAGGGAGAAAATCCCACAACAACTTCAACAGCAGGAAAGGAAACAAAAGGGCCAAGTAGTATTTTTCATATAAATATATTCCTTTCCCAAGTTCTCAGTGTGAGTTCTCCTTTAAGATCATCACTGTTTCCAAAGCTGGGTTGAAGGCTATTGAAGGAAAAATGCAAAAAGGAAAATCTAAAAATTAAAACCAAAAAAAAAGAACCCCGTCCATGTTACAAGTTTTAGTATGTTTTATATACAAATGTGTTCAAAAAAATGAAACTTTCCCTTCCTCAAAAATTTTACTCCTGTCTGATACCGGACATGGACTCCAGTTCATCACGAAACTAGAGAGATTGGAGTCCTGCAAGCAGACCACTTTTTACTTATTAAAATTGTTTGTAAGGAGATCTACTTTCATCTGTACTTGCTGTGAAAACAGGGTTAGTGCAGAACGTCAGTATCTCCCTACCACAAAGTCTTCATCTCAGTACTTCACCACCAGTACAGGTAAAGCATCTTTCAGCGGCCACTCACCTGAATGAGGGTCTCAGAGCCAAGAATCCCTGCAACTCAAACTCCTCTGGAAGTGGGGTAGCTGGTGAACAATCAGACAGGAAAGAATATCAGTAAACAAGGCCTGAAATATGCTGCACCAGTAAGGTTATGGATATCCAGGCACCATATACAGTACAGCTCACACTACTAGATAAATGCTGTACTGCTCATGCTGTGGGATCTAGAGGAAGTGAAGGATAGATAAAATGAAATACAATATGCTCAGCACAGGAAAGAGCAGTTTGTAAAATATTCACATTCTGAGTGCACTAATACTGGACGGTGCTTTATTTGACTTTCATATCCAACCATGATACCCCAACACCAATGATGCTAGAGACACTTCCTCCCCCTCTCCCACCTCCCTTTCACAGAACACAGTCTAGGGGCATCCTTACCATTAGTGCTGGAAAGATCTTCCTCATGGGGCTGGAAGCTGTTTAGCAGAGAAATCAGCCACGGCCAAATGCTAGAAATCAAAAGAAGATAGTTTCCACTTGTCATGGTATGTCTGAACTGGAATTCTACTGATTGTACCAATTAAATATGGAGACCTATGACAGAGTTGAAATCCAACTCAGCACAACTGCTTCCAAGAATGGATAACATTATCAAGATTTTTGGCATCCCTCCCTCACTGCAAAATTCTTTCAAAAGGCAGTATAAGATAACCAGAGAACCCAGTTTCTTGTCTCCAAATTCTGGAAGTATGGCAAGTGCATGTACCAGCTAGAGAGAAACAAACCACAGGTGTCACTTGATTTTAAAATATTATACTAGGGGAATGAGTTCACAGCATTTATTTGTAGTTCGTACTTTCCACTTCAAAGCTGACTCTTCTCAAGAGAACATATCTGAAAATCAGGTCAGAGACAAAATACTTCTGTAAGATATAGTTAGGGTTGAGCAGACTCATTACTTCTAAAAACCTTAACAGAATATTGTAGTTCTAGAAGTAGATGTTGGAACATCAGGAAGTCCTAAGTTCAGGTTGGATTTAAGTTGAACACTGAACTACCTTCACTCTACATGCATGACCTGCTAAAGCTGGTGCAATGACTGGAAATACCACTCTGTTTCAATTTCAAATCTGAGAACTACTCTATGGGGCACGTATAAAGTGAGGCAATTGTTTGAGAATGAAATAAAGTCCTCTGATTTTACAACAGAGGGGGAAATAGTGGATATCTGTCTATCTATGGATAGTCAGGTCTTATTAATAAAAGTGTAGTGAGGTACACAAGTGTGGGCATATGGGTGCCATGGCAACAGTGAGATGGAAGGGTTGGACTGATTCAGCACTCTGTGGTATGCCTTTATTCTCTGGGGCCCCAACTGTTTTTGCAGATTTTTTTAAAAATAAAGGAAAGCATAAGTTGGCAAATAATCTTTCAAATGTAAAGCTGTGTCTGCAGACAGACTGAAAATAGCTTGAATAGAGATGTGAAATACTCCATTATCTCAATAGCGCGTTAACATTTAATTGCCATCAACAGGCTTAAAATCAACCACTGATAACCATTTTGCTACTTGTTTTGCAAGCACATGGTACTCTGATTGCTAGATGAGCTTGAATGGAGCACAGTACTATTACACTCCCCAACCCTCCAAATCTGACTCATGGTGAGATATAAAAATATCACAGTAGTAGTGGAAATGGAAGAAAGTGAAGAAAAGTTCTGATGGGTAAGACACAGGCATATTCCAGGAGGATGAATTCTAGTTGGGTCTGTGGCTAAACAGATTACTTGCTATTTAGGGCTGGTCCACACTAAGCCCCCAGTTCGAACTAAGATACGCAACTTCAGCTACATGAATAACGTAGCTGAAGTCGAAGTATCTTAGTTCGAACTTAAAGGTACTTACCGCGGGTCCACACGCGGCAGGCAGGCTCCCCCGTCGACTCCGCCTACTCCTCTCGCGGAGCAGGATTACCGGTGTCGACGGCGAGCACTTCCGGGATCGATTTATCGCGTCTAGACAAGACACGATAAATCGATCCCAGAAGATCGATTGCTTGCCGCCGAACCAGCGGGTAAGTATAAACGTACCCTAAGAAATGTAGTCCGCATTTGTGCTCGTGTATGGCTGCTTTTGTAGAGCATAGGGCAGGGGTGGCCAAACTTACTGACCCTCTGAGCCGCATACGACAATCTTCAGAAGTTTGAGAGCCATGGCACACCTAGACGGGGCTCGGGGTTTCAACCCTGCTCCTGCTGAAGCCCCAAGCCCCGGCAGGTGCACCTGTGGGGCCGAAGCCCTGAGACCCCTCTCCTCACTGGACAGAAGCCTCTACCCCACCACTCCGCTGCAAGGCAGAGGGCCCAAGCCGCTCCCGCCGCAGTCTGGTAGGTGGAGAATTGGGGGGAATGGAGCTCCACGAGCCGCACCTTACTGGTAGAAGAGTCGAATGTGGCTCACAAGCCTCAGTTTGGCCACCCTGGCATAGGGCTTGTAAGAAATGTATGAAATTTTATAACATTCTAATAAGTTTAGCAAATTAAAATACAGTATAAGGATTTGTCAAAGTTTGTGAATTTCCTCAGTCTTATTTTAAAATACTGATCATGAAAATACTCTGTATATTATTTTCTTCCAGCTATATTGTCCTATAGTTATAGGAGTGAAGCAAAAGTGATGCATTTAAATTCAGTGAAACAATACAGGTTGAAATGAAGATCAGATAAATCAAGAATTACTCAGAGAAGCCTAAATTCCTTTAACCAGAATGGTCCAGGTAAAGGAGCTTACAAAACACCATTAGCCGTACTGACAGAGCTTATAGCCACCTTGAACTTGAGCAGATTGGTTAACTGAGCTTGCAGCTCTATTAGCATAGAAGAATTTAGTGACTCCAGCAGATACTTGCTGAGGGTTAAAAAACCTGAATAGCCTGTAAAACACATCCTGCAGCATGGACTCCTACAGTAGCCATATTGGAAATAACCTGCATCCTGATCCCATCTCACGTTTCACAATCCACCTCTCGCCCCTACAATTGAGCTCAAGGAATTCTTAAAACTCTGTCTCTGAAGGCATGGCTCTGGCCTGGAGACTCCTTCCAGTTGTATGGCTCCCCTCATGGACAAACACTTGCAAACTGGGCTACAAAACAGGAGTTAGTATCTTTTCACTACCAGTGTTAACTACCAAGTACAGTGTGCGCAAAAGTGCAAGGGGCTGGCACCAGTAAAAAGAAAGACGAGTTATGTGTCAGATGAAGGAGAAAGTATTTCCTACCATATTCTAGGCAGTTTCACCAAACAACCCCCAAGTTTTGTTGCCTCAAGGGAGTGAGGTGGGGAGCAGAGATTAAAGAATACTAATCCATTTCAAATTTTCGTTGTGCCTAATTTGTCAGGGTCCCACTTAAACTTTACAAGTGTACCAGTAATATTATTTATATTGCAGTTCACTTGCCTCCTGTGACAGACCCCCTCATCTCCCCTTCCCTCTGGCAGTCAATGCCTTGGATTAACATTTATATCCTGTAGGAACTGGCATCAATTCTGTGAAAGCAATAGGCATTCTAAGTCAAAGGCATGCTGTAGCGGAGTGGACACCGCTCCTGCCCTGAAGGGCTTGAAATCAGCCCTGAAGGAGGGCTGCAGGGGTAAAAGCAGCCCTGGAGAGGGCTGCAGCTCTAAAAGCTGGGCTGATTAGGGGAAGCGGCTGCAGCTGGGCCACACCCCAATCAGGCCCAGCTGGCCCCTATAAGAGGCAGTGAGCCAGGAGCCCAGACATCACTCTCTCTGCCTTCAGAGAGAGAAGGGCCTGGCACAAGGGAGCTTAACCAGACACCTAGATTGGGAGCAGGGCTGGGGAAGGGCCAGAGGAGCTGGGAGCTCCGGCCTAGGAAAGCCCAAGGCTGCAGGCCTGGCAAGGCCTAGTAGGTGTAGAGTTGCAGGCGGCAGCCCATGGGTAGGCAGAGGCAGCAGGTCCGAACCCCTTTGCCTGTGATGAGTGGCTGATACTGCAGTCTGCCCCAGTGAACGAGGGCTAGATGGAGACTGGGCAGTAGCCAAGACTGAGGCAAAGTGGGGATAGTGGGTGGGGGTTCCCCTGGGAAGGGGAGACCCAGAACTGTGGGGGTACTGCCAGGGGGCAGCACCCGGCGGAAAAGGGGCACCGGGGTCCTGGGAGGGACACGGGGCCAGTGGCAAGGTGGATCACCGGCCTGCAGAGGGCGCTCCAAGGCTGGGAAATCTAATTCCCAAGGACGACCAGCAGGAGGCGCCGCAGCAGTGAGACCCACGCCCTACACATGCCCAGAGCTCTCAGAATGAATCTGACCTTTTCAGTAAATCTTAGTCATTATCTAACACATGATGGATTGAAACACAAACATGTATCCTGAAGGTAGGTCAGCGACTTTTCCTGAATGGCTACTGAGATTGGTGGATGTAAAAATGTTGATTTTGTAAGTCCATCAAATCCTCTTTGATCTAATCTAAGTAACAAACCCTCATTCTGTTTGTATGGTAGGGCGTGAGGGGAATAGAGGTGGAGTATAAATATCATCAGTGTAGTTCTCATCCACGATACTTGCCATACTTTCAACATGCCTTTTGAAATAAATTAATAAAATCTTTACTAACAGTAGATGTCTGCTTTAGCTATTTTGGAGTCTGGTATGTGAGTGTAAAATGTTTAAAACAAACAAACTTTGGAAACTATTTTAAGTAGGCCTCCTAAGTGCACTGGCTGCTGTCTTCAGGCAACAGATAGAGGTGGCAAGGAACCAGATTGTGAAGAACCACACACTAGAATTGGTATATTTTATGGATATTTCTTTTCCTATCTGGGATTAAAGATTCCTGCCTTGGGGTAATATGGTTTCAGCAGAAGAAAAATCTGTATCAGCCGTTTAAGGTAAGATCCATTATCCACAAGAAAAAGCACATAAATCTTAAGGGTGGGAACTTGTGTATTTCTGCATTTTTCAGAGTACAGAAAATTCTAAATCTGCATGTTAAAGTACAAGGATTATTTCTCCAATGAGTCCAAGAATAAGTACAGTTAAGACCGATGGACCAAATAAATAGGACAGGGATACTCGCAGCTTTACTATATAATAGGAAGGCCTCAGAAGTATGACTAGGACAGTGGTTCTCAACCTTTTTCATTTACGGACCCCTTTGGACATTTCTAATGGAGGTGCGGACCCCTTTGGAAATCTACTGTCTGTATATACAGTTGAATTCTGTTCAGTCAGTTTTCAGTGTAAGTCTTTCATGGACCCCTTAGACATAATCCGCAGACCACAGGTTGAGAACCACTGCACTAGAGTATTACAAAGATGGAGAGACACAACATATACAGGTTTCAGGAGAACCAATGAAGAGAAAAAAGGCAAAAGTGGTTTTTTATCCTAAAGGAAGCTTTTTGTTCTTAGCAGTACCGTGAGAAAAACTTTAAAGAGACATGGTTCAGCTTGAATTTTTAAAATTGACAAATTTATTAAAATCC